CTTTGAGGAACAGCAAAGAGGATAATCCTATATAGATAGATAGATAAAAAATCAGGTATTGCTGGGATCTTGGCAGGGGATATGAGATCAAGAGAATTGTACATGTTGCAGTATTTCATTTATGCACTGGGTGGCAGAATGGCTACATGATCAGGGAGCCCTTTCTCCCTCATAAGGGATTCACACTCAGTCTTGCTGTTAAAACCTCTCTTGCCAAATATTATTAAACAAGTGTTAATTGAACACTTGTTTAAAAATATGCTTTGTGTTTTAAAATGTCTAGCCCTCTCACAACTGCATAGAATATGGTCATCATCCCTATTACTTTCGGGTATAATCATAGTTGTTCAACAATTTGATGTACATTATCTTCATAACCTGGGTAAGAACCCAGTAATTGTGGACAAAAGGAATTCAGAAATCTGAAGACTAATACTATATCTTCTGCTACATGAAGAGATGACTCATCAATCTATCAGAAGGTTCAGAATTAATTTGGAATAAAACCAGAAATGTGATGAATATATATGAAACTAGGAGGAGCTGTTATTAAGCTATTTTGGAAATCGAATTAGTTAAAGAATTAGTTACATTTTTCTAGTTCAAGAAATTTAATTTCTCTGGCACAGAGAGACTATATAGTTGCATCTTATTCTGTGGTTTGATTTGCATATTTTATTTAGTTAATATTGCCTTTATATCTCTTCCTCTGAGCCCAGTGTAGTGTGCACACAGGTCTCTTTTCGTTTTGTATCCACAACAACAACACAGGCAATTGGGTTGAATGAGTGTGACTGGCACTGAGTCACCTCGTGAGCTTTGTGTTGTCCTACATTACACTGCCTGTGATTTTTAATTTCTCCATTGTGTTCTCATGTCTCAGCAGAAGTTGGTCCCTGGCTGTCCTTATTCTGGCTCAGTAGCTAAACAGGCTTAAATCCTAGGTGGAAGAGAGGGCTGGGAAGTTGAAAAACGTGCATTATGTATGTATGAGGACTCAATATATAAGTGAGTGACTGTTATGAAAGAACTATGTTGAGATGGTTTGGCCATAGAGAGAAAATGAGTGAAGATTAAATTGCAAAACAATATATGAAGGAAGAGTGAATTGGTAAGAGGAAAAAGGAAACTGAGGCAGTCATAGTTGGGTAGAGATCCTAAAAAAAAGGGTGAGATGAGAAATTTAAAGAACAGCATATGGACATGGTGGAAGCGAGGATGGGTTGCAAGGATAAAAAGATATGGAGAAGTACAATGAATTGATTTATTTTCCTTATCTTATGCCTTTAACTTCTCTGATTTAGCATTTCTTTTTTTTCTGTGCTGGCCATGAACTTGCTTACCCTGAGGGGAAATAGAGTGTGATAACTATTTATGTAGTAAATATGTATTACAGAGGCAAACCACTTCTGGACGATTTCTAAAAAAACTGCATGGATGTGTCAATAACACCACCAGGACTTGAAGAAGATTTTATTTTCATTTGTATTTGAGTAGTTTAGACTTGAAAAGATGATCCTTGTGCGTAATACAACTTCAAAATAGAAATCATTTACTAGGACAAACAAAGTCTAGTATATCTACAAATAGCTGCTGTAATCCCTAGTCACAGTTTATGCAGTTCCACCTTTCTTGATTTTTGTCTTTCACGCAGGCCAATATGCATATTTACTCAGGAGGAGACTTGAGTGAGCATCAAGATATTTGCTGAAATAATCAATTACTGTTAAATGTTTTGAAACCTACGAAAGCCTCTGTGTGACTATAATGGTTAAAGGATGCAATGGGTAGGCAGCCTTTTCTATTTATCGTCCCTTTCTCAAGAGGAGGATTGATGGAGGTACTAAAGATTAGAGAAGCTTTGAGGAACAGCAAAGAGGATAATCCTATGTGAGTGGAAAGAAAGTCACTCTCCTGCTTTTAAGGAATGGATTAAGGCTACGAGTTCATTATCTACTTTTGAAAAATCTATGTGCTCTAAAAATGAGGAGGTGACACATTATACTGTTATATGATCCAGATTAAAGTCAACAATTGAATGAATTCCATACAGGTATTTATACATATGGAATCCTTATATGGATCATTTTTTGTTGTTGATTTTTTTCTTTTGTTATGTATAGTACATTTAACCATTGTAGTATATTTAATTCTTTAAATAATAATAATAATAATTATTATATTATTCAGTGTAGGCTTTTTTTCTTTTATATGCCACTATTTTAATAATAACAATACCCTAAAGGTTAGGAAAACATTGAGCAGCTTTCACCTCTCCATCATTCCATGAAAGATATGCCAAACATCTTTTCTCATTGAGATGGATACTGCTTATGATCCAACTGTAAATCCATGTGAGAAAAGTTATAGGTGGCACTCCTATGGAAGGACGATTCTGTAGACCACAGAATTACTTGTCCTTAGAGAGCTCTGATCCAACACCCCAAGAACCAGAGGATTATGTGAATTTCTCATCCCACGGCCCTGTAGTTTTCTTGATGGTGTTCAGCTGTACCTTAACATTAAAGGCTGAAGAGCAGGGCTGAAAGATCACAGCAGCATGATAATGTGACACATGTTAATGCTGCTAAAATTCTTACTGCTTTCTTATGGCTCCTTATACTGTTAGGAGCAGGTATGTCACTCGTGTTTTTATTCTGGTCATCTTAAATTCTAGCTGATATGAAGCAATTCAGACTGGAAGTGGGAATGTCAAAAAAAGGAAAACTTTTTTTTCCCTGTCTTAATATGGACAAAATACATTACTATTATTGTTACTGCTGCTGTGGTGATATACCAGAAAAAGGGGGATATAGAGACCCCATACCACTGGCGTAGATTTGGTTGGTTAAGCCAAAATTCCACAGTTGTGCTTTCACTGCTGCAATTTGTGATAATCTTGAAGTTATAGATAGAATATAGCTAAATGTTCTCGGTTCTACTTCAGTAACTCTGGCATCTGCAGGGCAGGGTGTCAATAAAAGCAAAAGGGTGGTTGTGGTAGCACCAGGGAAGCCCTTTCTAAATGCGCATGACACTGACCTGTGTGCCAAAGGAGTGGGGCTTCCATTGTACTAGTGCCGCTACCATTTTGCCTTTTTTGAATAATTTTATTGAAGATTATATAAAACAGATAAAACGAGTACAAAACCAAATAAAAATATTTTTTTATCATTTAAAATATTTTAATAATAGTAATTATTTTATTATATTTATTTTTATCATATTAATAATTATAAATAATTATTTATTTTAATTATTATTATTATTATATTAAAATAATTTTAAAATAATTTTAAATATTATTTAAAAATCATATAAGAAAGTGCAGGGAAAAGAAAAAATATCCCCCCACCAAAAAAGTAATAAGAAGAAGAAACTTCCCCCTTCATCCCCAGCAAGTATGTACAACATTAACAACTGATTACTGTCTCTTAAAATACTACCAAATACATCTTCATTCCATACTTCACCCCATTTTCTATAGATCCATCTCTAAATCCTTAGCTCTTTTTATTAATCAACAAAATCTGTAGAGATTAACAGACATAACTAGCAACATAGGTATTTAGTCTCCCTTTCCATTTA